TGGATTGATATTGCTGAGATCCGAGTCCTCCCATCGCTCGCGGTTAGAGGCTCGTTATCGGCTGCAATTTCTGACCCATTTCTTGTCCCAGCAGGTCAATTTTGGTCCTCGACAGAATGAGTGCCTTGGCGCCTATAGTTAAAGTCGAGCCCTTGCAATGCCCAAGTCAATCCAACACTCGACAAACTATTTGCCGACCACCCTAATTCTGTCGCTACTGCGACCAATCTCACGTGGAATTCTCGGTAAGGATCTGTTAAGTATATTATTATCGTTTTGAGGCCAGACATGTTCGAGAGTGGCATATGGGAAACCTTCAAGAATACTCTGGGCGAAATACACCAAGAGCTCCCGTTAAGATTCTGGATCTGAGTAGTCATCATTCGGCGGTGATCCCGGTCAGTGGTGCTACAACCATCGATTCCAACATCTAAGAGCGGGCCAGCACGTTCTGCCATTTCTGGATGGCGGGTGAGACCGTACACCTCAGATAGGAGGTTCGACGACATCACCCTCCTCCCAGCAGGCCTTGCCTGAAGCTTTCTGAAGTTCTCATCAGACCAAAAGCGACTGGATTGGTTTTTGCAGGATAGATTTCTCGATCTTGTGAGACGAGAACAAACTCCGCCTCTGCAGATTGTCATAACCTCAGGGTCCCGTCCTCCGAACACATCAGCTCCGCATCCACCCCGACAAGCTCCCCCGCCAGCCTGGATCGGTCAGCGACTGCATCAGGTCGATCGTGGCCATCTACGTACAATGTCTTTGTTGACGTGGTCAATTCATTGGGCAAGTTCAAAGTTCGACTGAAATGTAGGCGGGAATGGGATATGGGGACGATACCTGAGTGTTCACCCTGCCCTACCCACCCGTTAAAAGGTTGCGGGGGAGGCGCAATGCAGACTTCTTATGTATATGGGATGTTAAGAGAATGCACCTATCTTGATCGCCATCTCTTATATAGGTCGATTACGGAGAAGTCTGTCTTTAGCGCTGCTAGATACTCGGGTTGGGGATATTGGTGCTTAGCTTATCTCGAGAAATCACGAAGAGCTACAGATCTTGTATCCCCAACAATAGCTTCGTTTGGATAAGCTCCGAGTATCCAGCCCAAATACCCTAACTCCTCACTCAACTAAACAACGAAAGTTATCGTCACCATTATCATGAGTGCAAGTGGGAAACATCTAAGTTGCAACTGTTCGAGCATGTTGCGAGCTTAGTTGGGGGAACACTACAGGGAAGGAGACTTTGAGACATTCTACAACATGAATCTCCAAAGGTAGCGCATCCACAGCCCCGCTGTGCGCTCAGAGTAGGTGGCATCTTCTTCCAGCCTTATTCCGCTGTTGACCCACTCCGCTGCAGTGGCGACTGTTGGGCCAATAGTGTCGGCACTATTCTTTCCCGAGACTCCGAGAGCCTTTTCCTCACACATATTTCCTAAGATCATCTCTGAAGTCGCAGTAATCAGGACTAGTAATAGGACCAACCACCTTTCCATGCTTCCCCTCGGCATTCTCCAAGACTTCCAGCGTCTCGGAGAGCTCCAGCATTGTTCCATACAGTCTGGTGGATTTTTTGAGCGTTTTTGTGAGTGTGTACACTGAGTGTACTACACTCACATCCTGGCATATGCGTTCTCGAAGTTTTTTACACACAATAAACCCAAGAAAGTTTCCGAGATGGTTGGAAAAGAGGGGAGAATTGGACGGAAAATGTGGATATTTTCGTCCACGTACATGTTCCACAACTGGTTTCGTATTCGATGGGAGCACCACCAGTTGCTTCGTTCATAACGAGTGGGTCGATTTTTGTATGTCTTCGAAATTGACTTGGAAAAGAATGAAATTGAAGTGGAAAAATGTGAAACGGAATCGGAACAACATTGATCATCAGAAATTGAATCGGCGATATATGAACTTGAAGAGATTGTAGTTCCTGAAATAGATCAGGAGATGGTGTAGTCGTTGCTCTGCGAGGCGGCAACGTCGTTGCTCTACTGTATTATGATCTGCTACGTTTATTCACCAGTGTACTTTCCTAGAGCGGTGTCCGGTTATAATTGGGTGATTTGTTCACATGATATTGTAAATAATGATGATGAAGATGATAAACATCGCTCCGTTGGATACATCTTTCCACGCTTCGTCTCCAACGTTTCGTTTATCTTTGTAACGGTCTCGTGGCAAGACTCAGTAGGTATAAGTATATACAGCATATATAGTATATATAGCAGTATATGTGTGATATGATGACAATCGCGCTCACCATGGTAATCGATATATTAGTTATATCATACTGATCGGTTCGAGCTAAGCTGTATTAAGCCTTTAAGCTGTAGTCTTATCTCTTTCCATTCCAATGTTATTACGACTTATCTACATTCCTATCTTGCTTGTGTTAACTTACCACAATATGCTGCTAAGTATATACATTCTTCAAGCGTATATAGTATTCTTCTCACTACTGATGAAGGTTCGTATTCTGTACAAATCTTCTATTTCCCTATGGCCGATGCAGCCTTGTGTACCTCTAGTGTTTGGGTTCATTACGCCTGATATTCTACCTATCAGTGTACTCCCATAACTAGAGGTGGGCAAATCTACGGTACGGTACCGTACCGTAAGGTTTACGGCACGGTCACCGTAAAGCGCACCGTAATGATCACGGCACCGTGACGGCATCTGTGCTGACTTGCAGACTTGGCGTGCAAATCCGGAAGGTGCTTCAATGAATGAACTTTTGAGTTAGGTGTCGGTTACCGCAGTTAGTATTTATTTTCTTCAGTTTAGTGTTCCAGCTTGCTATAGGCCACCGCGCAAGGCGACAGTACTCGAGCGGGAATTTCCGAAATGGAGGAAGCTTGGCGATACCCAAGTGGAATGTCCTCGGTGTAAGAAAGTTTTGTAAGTGAGCAGAGGAAGCTTGAGCGGGGTCAGAGCCCACGAGCTGAAGTGCAGACAGGTCGACTCGCTGAGAGGACTGAAGACGGAGGGATTCGGGTATGTTATCTTTCGACAGTCACCGATCTTATCATCGAATCGGGTTTACCATTGATGACCGTAAACAGCAGAGGGTTCCGACGATTTGTTCTAGCCCTAAGGACATCATTCGAAGTGCCATCTCGGCGGTCACTCGGCAGAGAGCTTACAAGAAGGGTAAAAGCTCATGCAACTAACACTGCAAGTAGGCGTATTGAATGCACTTAAGGTTGCACATGGTTTTCATAGATACACTTAAGGAGATACCCAGCATTGAATTGACCATTGACGTGTGGGCTCGCTCTTCGCGGAGATCCTTCATCGGTGTTGTGGGGCACTACTATCCCGAAGTCAATGGTGTGAGGGGACTGTAGAACCCAACATAGAAGTGTAGGTGACACCAGATAGGTAAAAACCGTCGAACGGAATAAAATCCTTAAGGTATCTCGAGCAACATCTGTCTCGTCTCATCTGTCGCGTCTCATGCAAATAGCGCACGTCATTTTAGGTAAGACGCGTGCACGTGACTTATGACAGGTGACGTGCAGATCATGGTTCAGATGTGCCCTTACAACATTCCCACCCCTCGAAATGAGTCGGGCGAGTACAACAAAATATATATCAATGAAGAGTTATCATGATCATAAAGGTAGATAAAGGCAATATACTATTGACATGAACATGGTTATCAAAGTTATTGTTTTTTATAATGGAATGATTTTAACAGAGCACTAGAGCTACGTGTAGTACTGCGACTTGGGGTCAAAGTAAATCTTATTAATTTTACAGTGAACGGAATCTCCAAAATGTCACCTTCAGCTTGACCAGTAGGTTGTGAATCCGTCACCCATGTTTGTCCGGTGGAGCTGTCAACCCACTTGAACCTCCAAGAACCATCCGTCGTCGAATCCAAGAGGTGTATCAAGTAACAGGTTGGAGTGATAGATGTAATCTGACCAACATATGCAACCCCTCCTTTGGTGAAAATGACAGTCTCATTGACCTTGAACAAGACCTGCTTAGGACGACTCGACGAAGTGGAAAAGCGAGAAGGGGTAGGTGCCACTGTAGGCGACGACAACACGGGGGCAGGATCAGCAGTAGAGCCAGAACCAGCACTAGCTATGTCATCATCGGGAGATGTAGCATCCTGCAGAACGGCAGACCCAGGTGTACCGTCAGCGGGAGAAGCGTCGTCGTGAAGAGTCGCAGCTGGAGAAGCGTCGACATGAGGAGCCGCATCGTGCGTCGCAGGAACTAAATACAAGTTGTGAACATGCTCACGAAGTGTATGAGCAGAATCCCGAGGATCCTGAAGCAGGTAAATAACATCAGTCAGCCGTTCCAAGACTGTGTAGGGGCCATCCCAACCAGTCGTGAGCTTGTAGGCAGCAGGGCGGAAACGATATACAACATTTCCTTGACACAGTTGCGGCCCAAGCGTGGCACGGCGTTGGAGTGCAAGTCGAGTAGCAGTGTGTTGATCCTCCCACAGTCGACAAAATTCCTGCAGCAGTCGACGATGACCATATAAGTGCTTCTCAACAGCGTCAGAAGGTACCGGGTCGTCAACAGCTTCGAGAGCAGCGTGGAGAAAGTGTAAGTTGTCAGAGTAGCCGAAGAGAAGTTCATGAGGTGAAGCGCCGTACTCCTGTTGACGGACATGATTCAAGACCCATTGCGTCTCAGGCAGCAGAGTCAACCAGTCAGTAGGCCGCGATAGCAGTAACCGACGAAGGACCATACCCATCGTACGATGTACGCGTTCAAACCAACCCCCATAAAATGGGGCTAGTGGTGGGGTATGGTATATACGGATATCATACTCCCGCAAGAAGCGGGCAAAAGTAGGGCTCGAAAAGACCTTTGCATTATCACACACTATGGTGGCTGGTACTCCATAGGACCAGGTGACGCTTCGTAGACCATGCAGGACCTCCGGCAAGGTGCCATTGGCTAGTGGAATCAGTACGGTATATTTCGTTAGGAGATCAGTCGCCGTGAGCAAAACCCTGAAAGACGCAGTATGCCACACAGCCGTGTGGTATGGACCAGTAAGGTCCAGACCCAAGGTCTGGAAAGGCCGTGACGGGGCCGGGTAGGAACTAGGCACATGCCAGGCTTGGGACTGTTGGGTGAGAAGGCACGGCTGGCACTGCTTAACATAACGTCGGACAGCGTGTCGGAGCTTCGGGGACCAGAAGTAACGCTCGACAAGATGTCGAGTAGCCTTTATACCAGGATGACCGCCGACACAGTGAAAATGATGAATAATGTCGTGAATGAGCGACTTGTGATCATCGTCGTGTAAGACCACCTGAGGGACGATTTGGCCATAAACGTCGTAGAGCACATGCCGGAGGAGTAAACCGGAAGGACTGACCACCAGGTGCTGGGTAGCTTTACGCAAGGATAGGTGGTGCCCCCGGGAAGGACTAGACAGGTAGTCAACATACTCAGATAGTCGGGACGAGTCGCGCTGTCGAGCTCGGAAGAAGCACAGGTCAGCGGGCAGGTCGGACTGATCGCCGGTAGGCCTGAAAGCGTGGAAGAGACGATGCAAGCGCCGATAATCTTGGATAGCAGACACAAGGTCTGTGGCCAGCCAAGGCGTTGGCAGGACTTGTAGGATAGCAGCTCTTTGTACCAGAGATGTAACAGCAGCAGGGTGTTCACCCAAGTCGGCAGACAACTTCTGGCCAGATGTAGTAGAGGTAGACAGCGGGTTATCGAGGCGGTCAAGCAATCTCTCGGTCAATGGTGAACGCGTAGCGGAATCAGCAGGATTGGCCTTAGTGTCAACGTAGTCGAACCGAATAGTATTAAACCGTACCAGGCCAACCAATTCTATGCATTGTCCTAGCTTACGTTTTAGAAAGGCCTGTTGCCCAACCGGATTTGTGGACTTGGTTCGAAGGGTACGTAAGCAGGAGAGTGCGGTCTTGTTGTCAGTGAAGAGGGTCAGATGCGCAAAGTGGACCTTGGCAAGGCTCTCGTAGAGGATCAGCCGGGACAGAGCAAAGTAAACAGCGTAGAGTTCAAGAACGTTGGCATGTAAAGTTCGCTCAGTACGACGTCGCAGGACGCGTTGGCCCTGCAAGATGAGATGTCCGTCTTGGTAGATCTTATAGGCTAAGGCGTACTGGCTGGCGTCAGTATAGACCGTGATAGGCAAGGCAGCGTTGATGAAGCGGCAAAGAGGAGGAGGTTCGGCATAGCCACGATAGGTAGTGAGCCAGTCATGAAGCAAGGCACAGAGGGTTGGGCTGATAGTATCCGTCCACGCCCTCTGCAAGCGGTGCCGCTCGGAAGCGAGCAAACCTTGCAGCAGATTGCGCTGCTCCAGACAGTGCTCGGGCAAGACGTCGGACTCGGCAGTCAACATGCCAAGGTGAGACAGAACAGTGCGATATGTCCAAGTACGGTCAAGGTCAATGTGGAATAGTGCTTGCCAGCGAGGTAAAGGAAATCGGACGAACTTGCCGTGGTCGATGTACTCAAGGCCGAGGGCGTTCACCTTAGCGGTATCGAACAGGACGATTGTCTTCTTAGGTGACATGGGGAGCGAGTAGCGGGCAAAAAGGTCAACAACTCGGCCGGTAAGCGTGGAGACCTCAGTAGGAGTAAGTGACCGTCTAGACAGAAGAAAGACGTCGTCCATATAATGCAAGACCTTAACCTGGCAGTCCGGGAGCACCCCCGCAGTAATCAGACGGCCGACCACATGCCGGACTGCCACCTCTAGAATGTGGGGCGAGATAGCGAGGCCGTACGGCACCCTCGTAAAAACAAGGGTGCCGCCCCGGTGATAGAGGCCGGGAAACCTCTGCAACCCAACTCCAGCACGGAGTTGCATGAAGGCGTCTCGCACGTCCATGGATATTGCGTGGACACACCCACGCAGACCAGTTTTGAGCTCGGTGAGAGGCGACTGACGAAACCGGATGGACCGTAGCAAGCGGTTCAAGCCACGGTTCACCTGTAGCGAGGGGAACACAGGCCTAACGCGCTTGCCAACCACAGGATAGTAGTTGGTGACGGCACGGAGGTGTAAGCCAGGGGGAGGATGTGATAGTTTACCAACCGTGAGCATCTCATCGACGAGGCGGACGGCTTCGGCCTTCACGGGGTCGGGAGCCGACGTAAGCTTAGGGTGCTCCCGAGGGACAGGGATATCGGGTACTTGGATGTCATCGATGTCACACCAGATGTACTGCGATGTACCATCAGAGACGCAGGCAACCACCAACCAATCAGTGGAGTCGAGAACTTCCTGGACCTGCAACGCCGGAGCTAATTGTACCCAGGAAGGGAGCGTAACATCGGCATGTAGATGAGTCACCGAAGAGGAGTTGTCGGTCAGGGGAGAGACGTCCACCATTTTGTGAGGGGACTGTAGAACCCAACATAGAAGTGTAGGTGACACCAGATAGGTAAAAACCGTCGAACGGAATAAAATCCTTAAGGTATCTCGAGCAACATCTGTCTCGTCTCATCTGTCGCGTCTCATGCAAATAGCGCACGTCATTTTAGGTAAGACGCGTGCACGTGACTTATGACAGGTGACGTGCAGATCATGGTTCAGATGTGCCCTTACAATGGGCAACTTAGAAGAACACTGATCGATTTCATCGATCTGAAAGGTCGTCATACCCGTGCCAACATCGCCGACAGTGTCTATGCTGCTCTGCCGAAATGTAACTGTGTCTCGAAGATATGTCCGTTCACTACGGACAGTGCCAGCACAAACTTCCGGGCTATGGATCTTCTTCGTGAGCGTATGGTTGTTACCTTTGCTCATCTGGGCTGTGCTGGGCACAAGCTACACTTATCGGTTACCAACTCCTTTGGACTATGCGTAACCGAGAGTGCTTCAGTCGAAGACATAGGTAGGTCCCAGGAAGACATCGAATCTGGATCGAATGACGGTAACGATGATGTACCACATGGTGATCTCGAGCTCGGCGATCTAGTGAGGGAGGACAACTCCTTTCTAGGTCAGGATTACAGCAGTGAAAGCGAATCCGAGAGCAGCCTCTCTGAGGAATTCGATCTCAATAGCGACGAAGATGCAGCGTGGGGAGTCGGTGTAGATACTGTTGGTCTAGATCTAATAGGAGTGTGAGTTCTCTGCTGATGACCAGCAGAGAACCCACACTCGAGCTTGAACGGAGCTCGAGAGAACGGAGCTTGAACGTCAAGCTCCGTTCTCATGCCGAACTATTGCGGCATTCCAATGTCGCCTACCAGCTTTTGGAGGACTGTGTGAGGGAAGAGTATGATGGGAATATCCACGTTATTGGACGGTAGGGGTGTTTAAAAAAGTAAAACACCCGAGGTCCGGAGACGATCCGCACGCATGTGTAGTTGGCGAGGTCACCGGGTGACCGTCACCCGGCCGCGTTAGGCTCGTGGACGGTCTACTCGAAGTCGTGATCGGGTCGTCGATTGATACTATAGGTAGTCGATACTAGTGATCCTGGCAACACAATCCCAAAGGTAGATACGGGTATAAGATAATACTTAGCTGCGGTCGACAAGGTTGGCAGGAGTGCCAACAGTAATCCTCAAGATAATCCCTAGAAAGACTCTGAATGCAATCGATCGTTTGACACCTGTACACGTTAGCTACGGATAAGGCTTACGCGCTCGCCTTATACTGTCTATTCAGCACAGGCAGGGCCGCACAGGCGGACGACAACAAAAAGGTAACTGACAATGCCGGAACGGAAACTCCGTTACGGAGTCGGCGTAGCGAGCATATTTTACATATAGCGAGCAATCGATACAGTGCAGCTAACAGACTGGCCAACAGGAGTGGGCAGATCCTCCTACCACAGCCTTGTGCGGTCGTGTGGTCGTCCCATGTCACGTTACATGATACGTGAAGATGTATTCAACGTGAGTGTTTATAAAATTCTGTCTACGATTTCGCTAAATCGCGTTCTAAACAACGGGGAAGTGACGCAAGCAAACGAGCTCCGTAGACTGAGAGGTGTGAACGCCCAAGAAGACGAAGCACCACGAGGGCTCGTCCCAAGGTTGGACAGTACGATTTGCAAAGCAGCGGCCTACTGTTACCGAGCCAGACGTCGCCGTCCCAAGTGGGCGAAAACGACTACTCCCTAACGCGGCAGGGTGACGGTCACCCGGTGACCTCGCCAACTACACATGCGTGCGGATCTTCTCTGGACCTCGGGTGTTTTACTTTGTTAAACACCTGTACCGTCCAATAACGTGGAATGTGTCTGAAATGCTACAAAGTTGACCTTTGGCCGCAATACTGACCGAAATGCCTCTTCCTCTGCCCATCCGACTGCTCGCTTTGGTTTATGCACTTGACGTGTTGAAGGTCATCCGAGGAAAAACTTTGAAGCTCGATGTGAAGTACAAACTTGTGAAAGGACGCGGCTTCGGAATATTTCATACTCTGGTGGACAAGAAGGGTCAGAAGCTAGACGTTTTCGTTGACACTGGATCTGGTGCTTTCTTTCTCATCTGGAAAGATTGGTTCGAGAGAGCCACGGGATACCCCTGCAGTGCTTGCCCTATGGGATGTTATAAATGTTCGAAGCGTTGCTCTGTGGGAAGCGTGACGAGAACTATTAATTTCGCTGACGGATTCACGGTGAGCGTGTTTCCGCATCAAGCGAAATTAACGGTGGGTCAGGTGTCACAGACGCTCACTTTCGGACTGATATTCAACCAGACTCCTGCCGTCACAGAAGAGATTCCATTGAATCTGATGGGTATTGGCTATGACAGAGGTTTGGTGAACTTCCCGTCCTTGATGACGCAGTTGCGATCGTCACATACTATAACGACCGATATCATTGCTCTTTACTTGTATCCTTCCGCTGATCCCGAGGAGGTAACCGCTGATGGAGGCCTCCTCCTGGGTGGAGGCGATTCTGAATTATATGAGGGTGCATTGAAGTACGTCGAGTTCTCTAGGGACAGAGAATACACGGTGAACATTAATAAGCTACAAGTCGGTGATGGACACATATTTCCTGGTATCAATGTAGATGCAATACTTGACACCGGCACCAACTTAATGTACGCCCCAGGACTATACTACGACAGGCTCATCGAGAATATTAAAGCCCAAACTAACGAGGCTGCAGGTACGCAAGTCGACTTCAAGTATGATCGGGAGACATGGGTCTTTCCCTGCCAATACATGACCAAATTGCCACTATTGCAATTTGGCTTGGGCCCTCAGGGCATGACCCCGTTCTCGATGACATACATGCACTACGCTAGGAGATTCCCTCCTACCGTCTGTCGTCTTGTTATTATGAAGGGCCGGTGGAGCGAATGGATATTCCCCGATCGTATGCTGATCAATAATTATTTTCAGTTCGATCCTACTTCTAAACGAGTGGGAATCGGCAAGTTGAGACCGCGATTTCCGTGAACAATTTCCTCCTTTTGTTGAATTCTCCCAAACCTACGCTTCAGCTGGACTTGTCCTTCTGATAGCATGGTTTTACGAAAACCAGTTAGAAGCTTGCTATTCAGCAAGTTATCCGTTTTATTGAGAGATTATTTCCTGGCAAATGAGCAGGCTATGTCGGTGGATTATGATTCAGCGATTATGATCAGATTATGATTCAGATTATGATTACACACGTGAATACATCAGAGAGTCTTGCGTTCACATGAGTGCATAGATTATCCGTGATGGATATCATCGTCCCTTCTGTTACAAGCTGCAGTCAAAGATACGACTGGAAGGGACAATCAAGATCATATCGGATAAGAGTATCATACTCTACCATCAGGATAGAATCTATCTGAAGATAGAATCTACCCTCGGTCCACGAAATCCGATCACTCTTCGGTCACTCTACCTTATTAAGAGGATAAAGAAATGAGCGCAGCTACTGCAGCAGTAGTACTTCTTTGGTTTCGCATGACGAGAACTGCTCTCAGTGCCATGTGAGAGAGACCAGTGAATCCCATGTGTGCTCGAGTGTACAAAAGACCAGATCGATCACGTTTGCGTCCGAGTTATGTGGATCTCTTGGGCAAACAACAATTAGTGTAAAACGATGCACAACTATGGCGAATTTTTGTACCAATAATGTGACCTCTTGCTGAATATAATCTGCACAGGGTTCATGAGAGGTCGGATGTCGGACAACACAATGTCTTTCCGCGAAGTTTGGTAACAGTCACGGAGCATGCATTGCGTGTGTCCCCGCTATGGGAAGCCGCGCCTTTCTGCTTAATAAATTAATGTGAGTAAATCCCGCCGTAGCACGCTCAGGTTGCAATGACGAAGCTCTTGGGAAAGAGGTCGTTTGAACGACAAGAAGTCGATCGAAGGCATCCTCCACCTCTTCAAGAGCAGAGAAACGTGATGATCTAATCATGTATTGCTTGTATGATAAGGAAAGTTTCAATCGACATAGAGTTCGACCACTTGTAGGGCCGCCGCATAGAACAAGGTGATCATGAGCATTAATCTGCAATTAATTCTCTGAGAACATTAATAGTTTTCTGTGAAATTAGTGTGGCAATCATCTCAACGACAATTCACCAAGTCGCTGGAGGGTTGCGTGAGCACTATTTGTGCGAGAGAAGCCGTTAAGAGCATCGCTGAGAAGGTGGCGATCATTGCTAGATCATTGGCGTGATAGCTAGAACCCCGATTGATCCGCAGAGAAATGCCTATGCTCGAATCCCGAACCAAATTGCTCCCAAAACTAGAGTCCAGCCGACTACAGTAGGGTGCCGTAGAGATCTTGGAAGATGTGAACGATGATTGAGTTCAACGGAGGCGCCTATGTAGTGGAGCATAGGCAATCAGAATGGGCTTTCATCGCGTTCTACGAAAAACCTGAGTCACGCTTTTCGTAGGACACGGAAAGAGTTCATTCTCGTCTGGTTACCAGTCTGGTGGAAAAAAGTGGAAAAAAATCGGTTAAAATTTTGATGTTACGTCGTGGGGTTCTCTTGAAACATCTTCCTAAGATTGACTCAGCAACGTGTGAGTTGTAATGGGTGTCTGGCAGCTTGAAAACGACAATTGTGTAACGTTACAAAATTTGAATTCCGTGCAGAGAGGAAGTGGATACTAGATACCAACGCAACACAACCAGAGATGGTTGTGGTGAGGATCTTGCAATGAATATATACTATGGTTGATACTGGAGAATCGATGTGCCCAAGAAAACGCTGGGCGAGCCAATAATACTGCTTGGATATTCGGGTATCTACTTTTCCTCGCCCCAAATTTTCTTTCCCTCGCCCCTAAATTTCTTCGCTTCCCCCTTTTTTTCTTCTGCGTCCCCAAATTGCTTCCTTGCCTGAAACGACCCCTAGTGCTTCGGCGGGGATATACCGAAAGGCTATTCGAGTCCTACTACCTCATGCTCCTGCTAATACACAAGATTCTGGTGGTGGTAGGTACCCCGGAGTGTTGTTGAGTTGGGGTAGAGTAAACAGTGCTGTTCGAGGGGCGCAGCGAGAATTTCAGTTTTTCGAGCCAGAACAAGATGGCCGAAGTTACTGAGAGAGCCCACCTGACGATCTGGCATCAGTGACTGAAAGAAGGCTGCAGGTATCATATCAATTCTATTGATCACTCAAACACTGATGGCCACTCAGGCTAACAAGCATTCAACGCTGCATTCTGATGCTACTTTTATGTGGGTGGACGGTGGAGGAAACGAAGCCTTCCCAGAAGAGGCTCCTACTCCTTTGTGGCGTTACTGTGGCGATAGCACAAGCCACGCTTCCTGGCGGTGGCCTCACAGCCTTCTTCGACACATATCTGACCTCCTCCATGAGTGATGCAATATCTAAGCGAGATAATCAGATAGTCGAGATATGTGAATGTCAACGCACTACTTCTTCCCTACAGCCTCCCTACGCGCGAGGCGTTCGCATCCGGGTGCCTCACAGATTGAGTGGCCACGTGATTCTGAGTAAATCACTTGAATCCCTCATGTCCATCGAGCTTGCGTCGGAAACCCTGAGTACTCCGTATGTTTTTATTGATTAGTCCAGCACGTTCCATCTGATATTTCTGACGGTTCTTCCTGTCGCGCGGAGTGCTAGAGACCGCAGGAAGATTCCCGCAGGGAGAAGCCTGAAGGCCGTTCGAGACATTCATGATGAGCAGTTCGATCAAGTCGTTATTAGCAACAACTCTCACACGCCCGATGGAGAAGGAAGAAGAATGAGAAGTAATCCGTGAGAAGATGAGAAAAAGTCATGCGAGAATCTCGAAACAGTAACCGGTCACTCTTTCGACGGACTGATGACCCTCTTGCACCGTGATGATTAACAACACAACTCAAGCTACTGGCCCGAACATTGATGATGCATGTATTATCTTGGGTATGATTTTTCCGACGTGACTTATGACGAGGATCTATCTACAAAGTCGAAGTAACGTTTATGAAGATACAGAAGTACCCGACATTTCAATGGTGAAACATTCAGACCCGCAGATTTCATTCCCCTGAACGCGAGCCTGAGAGAGTGCCTGGATTCCCCTCTAGCTCTCCTGCGACCGACTTTGATTTTGTGGCGAGTCTACTGACAACTGTCATGTGAACTCTAAAGAGATAAACTAAAAAAAACAAAATACTCGGAAAGTATCGATGAAGGCTTTGGACACAAAGACACCAATGACTCGGCTCACATATCGCTCGACGATTACACTATCATGCATCCTCTGGAGCACATTCAGGGCAGTACCTTTTTAAAAGATGCGTCAATGTACGTCTTGGGGGTGACGCGGGCACCCGCGGCGTGATCACTGACTCACCAGTCGCCTTCTGGGGCATATAGCATTCCTACACACTCCAAGTGATACCAGGAGTCACACTACAAGAAAAGCACGCTTCCGCACTGAAGCCTTGAAAGAGGTAGCTCCAAGTCTCACTTTATAGCAGCCAATGAGGACAGTACCTCGCTGGTTCCATTGCTCACCGCAGTTCGGGCAGGTTCCCGTCCAAGTTTCTCTGCCATGGAGCTCGGCGGTAGCCACTTTCCGTGCCTGAAGGCACGGAGAACGCCCATGAGGATCGAAGGGACGGGCCAGCAAGACCAGCAGTGCCGATCTTCAGCTCAGATTACTTTGAGATTGACGAATTGGTGAGCCTGGACAGGACGTTTCCTCAGACACATAGCATGCGCTCACCCATTGAACATCACATCACACCGCATCACCCATTGAATAACATCGAAAGCTCGAACACGAATAAGTGTGAAAGGGGTATATTGCATGATCATGCATGAGGCCTTCTATGACTCATAGACTATGAGTTGATTCGTTGTCTACATGTACCTAGACGGTTTTTTACGGTTTCGCCGTAGGTTATAGCGATGCTGATGGGGAGCGAGTCCGTCGCGGGGAGAGGCGTCTCGGCTCTGTAAGCTTCTCTAGAATAACCAGCAGTGAACTGCGATACGTTCTATGAGGGTCGAACTTACTGCCGTGTTCTGGAGAGTCATATCAGCGAGAACCAATGGAGGCGATCCAGGAGGCGATTCGAGACTTCCATCAACCGACTGCTCTACCAGTGGGACATGGCGCGAGTGCGCCTACGAAACGGAGTGTAGCTGCCTACGAGTGCCTCACTCAGAGTGCCCTACACCCTACTTCTGGTGATATTTGGAGGAATGATGTGTACGACATGCTTGGATTATGAGCATATTCGATTGGAGATAAATCCAAGCTGTCGAACAGCTGAGAGCGAGCGACTGACGGTTGCTGTAAACAGAGCCCAAATGCGCCGTCTGAGATTAGAAGTAGAGCCTGCTAGGTGGTTATCGTCATGGCTACTCGTGTGAGAACTTGCCTTCTCCGAATTAGAATCCGCTGGACTGTTGAGTGCAGGCCCTAATAGAGCGCGATCCTTTATCCCTGACGAAGGAGAAGATCTCACTGGATGTATGTCCACTAGGGTCTGCTTGGCTGTTATCGTCATCGCTACACATATGAGAGCTTATCCTCTCCGGATTAGAATCCGCTGGACTGTTGACTGCAGGCTCTAATAGAGCGCGATTCTCCATTCGTGACGGAGAAGAATATCCCACCGGATGTATGTCCACTAGAGCCTGCTTGGCTGTGATCATCATCACTACTCGCATCACTAACTGTCTTCTCCGAAGTAGAGTCAGCTCGGCTGCTATCATCATCGCTGCTCGCGTGAGAGTTTGTCATCTCCGAAGTTGACTCCGCTCGACTGCTGGCTGCGGACTCTAATGGATAAAATCAGTTTTACATTACTGCGACAGTGATATTGCCAAAGATTTCGACTCGAAATGGTCCATGCTATAAGCTAATTACCCTCCAGAATGAAGCTCGACAAGTCCACTCCGATTTCCTGCCCTGCAAGTGCCTCGGCCTCCTCAATCCACGAGCTCTCTTGGATTCGGATAGGATCTGAACAAAATGTGTGATTTCCCATTACTGTATTTCCCATTATTTCCCATTACTCACCGGATTCGTCTCCACTCGAGCATGCATCGTCATTATCACAACAAAATAATGAATAGTCAAGATCAGCAGAGAGCTCGGGAATAATCTTAGCTTTGGCAGGAAGCATGTGGGTCTTCATCGAAGAACCCGGAGAAGTGAATTCCCGTAGGAGACTTGAGTATCGTCGTGCCGCTGCGGGGCGCACTTCGAGAGCCGAACCAGTCTCATACCTTAAACGGAGCGTTTAATTGATTAGCTTTTTTGAAGTCTATGTACCTGACGCAGCCCTGTGGTGCTTGTCCTGGAATCCGAAATGCTCCTTGGCTCGATATTTTCCCCTCTAGTAGGAGAATGCCGACCAAATGGCGACAGAATATTGCGTGTACACCATCTTGACAGCTGCAGCGATATGCCAGACCATTATACACAGCAGTTTTGGTAGATACTGTTGGTACCACCTCTATCACTCTCACAAGATTGAGAGAGCTCAAAAAATCGTCCGCGTCGACCCATACGTTTTCATCAGAGCTATCGTATCTCTTTCTGAACTGGGCGATGCACTGATCGTTTTCGGATTCATACATTTTCAAGCAAGAATCGGATGGTATAAAGTATCTGTATGCCCCGTCGGTGCCGATGTCTCGGTATATATTTCGTGTGCGGACAGCGCGGCCTCGGCTCCACTTGTGGCCAGCAGTCAGCTGATTCTGCGTGGGAGAGATTGCATCGATTAGATCTTCATCTGGAGTCATTTCTCCTTGCACTGAATAATCCTTGCAGACTGCGCAAATCTCACTTATCAGCGAAGCCAAGGAGCAATTCGGAGTGACTCAGGGTGTTCTCTTTTGGCGTTTTGAAAGTGATATTGCAATGTTGCTGCAATTTGCTGCAATTTGCACTGCTATATAGGCAATTTGGAGCAATTTGTGCAACATAGGAAATATGAAGAATTCATCTCCTTTCTCACTTCGCAGCAGCATTTGTATATCGCTTTCCGTGTGAAGGAGTAACTGCGAAGGATTAAAGTCAGAACTATGGGTCAGGAGAGTTCCTGGAAGTACCAGGCTGGTACCACAAAGCGGATTCCCCTGAATCAGTGTATTTCTCGCCCGCCATAAAATGGGCGAGCGCGGTTGATTATGGTGCGTGTCTACTTTTCTGATGCAAAGATCCCAAAACAACCGTAATAGGTGGCGAAGCCAGAATTCCAGTCGAGTATAACAGTGATACATCGTATGCCCATATCATGGAGATATGAGCCTGTACCATTTCTACTATTGGTACAGGCTCATCTGTCCATTAAACGCTATAGAAAATTTGGACGAATGTGAGGGTCTTCCATTGGAGGAAGCGTGGGCAGCAGTCAGCTATGAATCTATCAGCCACTACCACTCAACAGAATACAGCATGGATTAAGCGAGCTAGTTAATTATCATGCCCATACATAAAAGATAGTATCACAGTGGAAACACACCCAGCGCATCCTCATGGTGAACGTAACCCCTTGGAAGAGGATTCATCTGCGAAACTCTCCGTTTCATCAAGCACGAGACAATCTCCTTCTAGGACACCGTTTGCTTTTAAGTTCTGACGGGTCGCCCAACGGATGAATACATCACGAAAAATGTGTTCGGCCTTTAAATTCGTCCTGAAAGGAAGAGAAGAGGATGGTTGAACAGTATCCAATATCCGATCAGGATATCACTCGAGGGAAAGCTGGATTTCGAATGATCCGACAAATTATAATGAAAATGATTCTTACTGATGCACGAATGAACAGCTGGAGAAGACTCTTTCAAGACTGGCTGTCGAGCCCATGACGGCCAACGTCTGGAATATGTACGCGAATGCACTGCATGCATGTCGATGTGCACGCCAGTAAGTTATGGGCGGTATAGCTGCGAGCAGCTCGATAGAATAACCAGAGTGAGGACCTAAGGTGAACTCAGCTGACCTGATTGAAGCGCAAAGCTCGAGCCGAGAATAAGCGACAGGAGATGTGTGCTCACCGGAACGCTGAAAATAGTCCATGATGCTCGGGAGGCTTTCAGCAAAATTCACAGGACAAGTCGATCCGGAGAAATTCTCGCAAAACGCTCGCAAATTGGATATCGTTTCGACAATCGCCCGTGGCTGACGCAGGTCCGGGTTTCCCGGATCGAAGGAGATCACCCACTCTCTGCCATCCATAGCCTTGGACAACCTGATAGATGGTCATCACTCAAACTGTCATATCTCTACAACCACGCTGTGAGCCACAATCTGGTTATGTAGAAATGTTTCAGTCATAACTTGTGACAATCTAGGCATTAGGTGACCAAGTGACTCGATTCAGATCCGGGAACCAGTGCTACCTTTCCTTTATGGAGGCTCTAGAAATGCGTGAAAAAACCTTATTCGACATAGCAGTGGCGTAGGTGTGGGTGACCAATTTCATTCCCTCGAACAAGGATAAGGATGACGACTGCAGTGCTTGGGATAAATCCAGGAAGGGAGTCATCGCTTCGACATAACTAACCGCCTCGAATCGCAATTTCTCGTCCTCAAGGTTCATTGCAAGCTCGGTCGTCGCCTGCTGACTTTCTCGTGAGAGGCTGAGGAAGGCACTGAATGGAAGCACTTCAACAAGAAAGATGTGGTTGTCAACAACTTGTTGACTCATTCAACAAGTTATGATAATCGATCAATTTCCACCCGCGTAGCTGAGGATTGTTGGAACAAAACTTACGTATTCCAGATTGCCTCATTCCGGAGCTCAGTCAAGACGGTAACTATCGTATCCCACATTTTTACAAGCATACAAACGGCACTGATTGCCGTACCCCATCTTATAGGACATACTGCGGGTATTTTGAGACCCCGAGCGCGTTGATAGATTCTTGATATGAAGGGCATCCTCTGCCATCGCCTGGCTTTCCCGCTTATCTCACACAGATGGTAGAACTGGCCCGTGCGCGTGACTTCTCCTTTATTGTTTCTTACCAACCCGGTCAGGTCTCCGATCAACAAAGAGTGATGATGGCTCAGACAGCCGATATCGAGAATTGGCGTAACCAATCTACCATTATCTCCCGGAGGATTCTTCTCCTCGTTCTTGGCCACATCCATGTCCGTCATGCGTTCAACAGCGAGAAAACGGCTCAGTTTAACGTTGGCTGCATTATCTGATATAATCGCCGATATCTTTCCGCCACCTAAAATGAACGGATGAGTGTAGATAACCGCAAACATTCCAATGAGAGTAACATGTTCTCGAAGAGACCGTGAATACTACAACCAAAATGTATTGAACATATGAGTGAAGAAGGGATTTCTCACTTTGCCTTATATCATCAATACATTCAAGTGCGAAGGCACAAATATATTCCCCCGTTTCTCTTTCCTCCGCCCCCAGAGCTCTTGCTCGATACGGCATGCAAAAGGCAGTCTTCGTCTGTTTAATTGTTATTGCACACGCCAAGAGATTCGAAGTGGCGCCTTTAGGTGTCCATGAGTCCAGCATAATGCTAACGCCGTCTGGGGCCATCTTGATAGCGTCGCAATATTTAGCGAAATTCTCAGCGAATATGGTGTTTTTAAGACGTCGAGCCTTTGGAATTGTCAATCTTTTCTTATGGGAGGCGTATCCGGGCCTCACTGAATCTATCATGTGTGCAAAAGCGGGTCCGCAAATTCCACGAGTAGAGAAGCCCAAAGTGACACCAATTTCGACTGCCCGGCGAGCAAATATCTCAATGTCTTCATCTGACGATTGGGGTTGTGATTCACCACAAGTGGAGACCTTCGGCAGAATTTCAGCTAGTGTATGGGACTCATATAGGTGTTGCTGCTTCTGCGCGTGATTAAACCTGTTAGACTTTCCATCGCATAGACAGCAAGTATAGAGACTTCCATCCCTTTCATTTCCTCGCGGACGCTTCCCCCCAACCTTGACGAAGAAGCAATCCACATCGATGACCATGGTTTGCTTCATTGTGAATGAGGAGTTGCAACCGAGAGCACAGAAACTCCAGCATATTGACAATCAACACAACTACAATCTTAGGAGTTTATCCTCAACTATATCCATGAATCACGGACCATATTCCAAGCCTGTAATTAACAATGAGATTCCTGACACCTGAAAATTAAATGACAATGATAAAATTAACGTCATATTAACGCTATCTTGTAGCGATTCCTTGGGTGCGATTCTCTTACTTTCTTTTAAACTCTTATTAATGGACTCTATGCTATTGGTATGTCTTCCGATGGCGTCGTCGACTACATCGACGTGTAATCTGTGACCCCACACGCCACGATGAATTAACCAAGACTGTTTAAAATATAGCCATAATGGTTCATTGATTGAGCCCCATTTTTTTTGTAGTAGTCTGGAAAACGTCGCGAAGTGTGCTGCAGTCGGCATCCTTTGCAAGGTGAGGATATCCCGGCGAAATGCGAGACGCTGCTGCGCGTACGCTGCTTGATCCTCCACTTTTCGGCTTATCATCGGCGATATCACTTTCATGGCTTGACGCCACATGTGAACATAACAATAGAGCCTCGCCCAGCCACTAGTCGGCTCCCAATGCAAATCGGCGCTGAGCCCCACACATCTCACTTCTCCATAGATCTGAGAGCGATATTGTATGTCTGGTAGTCATTGACTGCGATCCTCAGCGAGCAAAGACTAGTCCTACTTCAGAAAATGCGCTTGTAAATTGAGGAGCGCTATCGGCTATTAGTCCGTGAGGTTCAAATGGAGAGCCCATTTGAGAGCATATAGCTCTGATGGACTTCAACGCTTCTTGTACAGCAAGGCTGGTTTCCCTTAAGCTCACCCCAATGCACATCAATAAAAACCTCGATCCCGCCCTTAGATTTCCCATCACTAATGTGGGGAAAAGACAGTAGGATAAACCATGAGTAAAATCACAGCAAAAGGTTTTTTCCGAGCTACCTCGACGGAGCAAAAACCGTGTGGTGAAATACGCGAACACCTCATTTGGAGATTCTTGCACTTCTTTCACTGTTGCGTGGTCTTCAGCGTTGATGCACCAACTGATGCAGAAGGGCTCATGTTCATCCTCTGGGAGTTCCGAACGAGCTTCACAGTACGCACGGATAGAGCCGATAGTGTCGTCTACTGAGCGGGGGCGCTCTGTATTGTTTCTTTTATGCACGTGTCGGAGATTGTAAATTGACTTCAGAAGCGTGCTGTATGTAGCGCCCGCCGGGAGCATTCGTTTCTCACGGAGAACACGAAAGATATCGCGTGGGGTAGACTTCCCAGAAGTCAAGTCTTTCACCAACTGTTTGGTGGGAGAGTCGAGCATAGGCTTCCGTTTACGCAAATTGATAGAGGACGACCGTGGTTTATGTGGAGAGTGCCGAGCAGACATGGTGACCTGGAAGCCAGCCGTGCCACTCCCACGAACACACATTGCAAATCCACATCCAGCGAAATTCGGATTCCTATCGAAAGGACACTTGTAACGCGTGCACGTCGCCCTAGCACTCCCTGCCGATTTGGGATAAGTCACCGTGTGCCTGATCATACGTGACCCATCTGGAAGCCCTGCAAACTCAGACAATCTCTTCTCTGCCTCGGCTCTGGTTGCGAATATCTCGTTTGTGGCCGAGATATAATCACGACCACGCCCACGATGCCCCGTAGTCGTCTTTTGCAATAACTGCTGATCACCCACATCTACAACGCTGAGCATCCCTTGGTCACTCGTCCCTGGATTCTGTATGTCAGATCCCGAGCTTGGTGCAGAAGGCACATTATTATTAATTGTTCCAATAGCGGCTTGTAACTTGCATATAAGATCGTTCACTTCTTCAATATTTGCCATGGAATACTAATGAGTATGCTAAGGAATAGTAATGTCAGCACGCCTAGAATATCACGGACTACACTATATCAAAGATTAGGATACATAGCTGCTGCTATACTGCAGCTGCAATAGGAAGTAAAACTTCAAGAGGAAAAAACAAAATTGTTCAATTGTAAGAATAAAGCGTATGGTTGTTTCCTACCAGTTGACTCTTAACATGATGAAGGTAATTTCTCAGTATCAATGGACAATAGCGAGATGTTATTCGAAGATCCTGTTGCGACTAAGTCCACGACTAACCTGGTTAATCTAACCATTATTGATGGTCCATGAATTAACTGAACGCAAAGTCATACAATGTACTTGGTTTAGTTAATTATAGCACTGTCTCTACGAGAAATATTGTAAAAGCTGTAGAGCTTGTCATCTCCGAATGAGTATCGGCTAGACTGCTGATTGCAGGCCCCAAGAAACAAAATCAGTTTTACCAAACTGTGACTGTGACACTCTCGAAACGGTCTACTCCGACATCTGGCCCGCCAGATGTCCTCAGCCTCAGCCTTCTCAATCCATGTGCTCTCTTGGATTCGGATGGGACCTATAATCCCTTCTCGAGAGCTTCTCTAAGGATTTTCTTTTTTGCGCGAATTTGGGAACACACAAGCAATTTTGGGGACACTAAGAAATTTTGGGTCTGAGATAAGAAATTTTGGGGCGCGCGCGCAGTAGGTGCCTATTCTCGGAACATCACACTCACAAGCGGCTCTTGCTCACTCGTCAAGTCTCAACGTAGTTGAGTCAGCAGGTTCACCGAACTCTCCCGCCGCGAAAATGACGATATACAAATAGCGAATGGACTCTTGTTGCTCATAACGACGAAAACTTCACTCATCCCCTCAAAGAGGCAAGTAATCTGGGATAACCACTTCCAATGTCTCCTCCGAGGGATCGGTCCCGCTGTAGTTGGGGCCGGCATTGAAGGCACCCGTCGTCGACGGCGATGACGATAAGGCAGTCGCATGAGTAAAAGTAGGAGGCCACGGGGTCTTCTGATTCAAAAAGGTCGGTGGCCAACTTGGGACTGCAGATGCTGGTGGCACGAACTGATTAGACATTGTTATCACCGTAGAACTCGATGGGCATGGCTGCTGAGCTGACGTAGGTATCGTCACAGGTCTCGAGGTAGATGACTGAGGGACCGCCTTAGGTATCGTCACAGGTCTCGAGGTAGACGACTGAGGGACCGCCTTAGGTATCGTCACAGGTCTCGAGGTAGACGACTGAGGGACCGCCTTAGGTATCGTCACAGGTCTCGAGGTAGACGACTGAGGGACCGCCTCAGGGACCGTCACAGGTCTCGAGGTAGACGACTGAGGGACCGCCTTAGGGACCGTCACAGGTCTCGAGGTAGACGACTGAGGGACCGCCTTAGGTATCGTCACAGGTCTCGAGGTAGACGACTGAGGGACCGCCTCAGGGACCGTCACAGGTCTCGAGGTAGACGACTGAGGGACCGCCTTAGGGACCGTCACAGGTCTCGAGGTAGACGACTGAGGGACCGCCTTAGGGACCGTCACAGGTCTCGAGGTAGACGACTGAGGGACCGCCTTAGGGACCGTCACAGGTCTCGAGGTAGACGACTGAGGGACCGCCTTAGGGACCACTGTCGGGTTCGAAGAAGAGCGCTGGGAAGCCGCTTCGGACCCTGCTGGTAGTCTCACCGATTGTGCTGGCCACCCCGCGGATAGTTGAGGAGGCGGAGGCGGCAGCACAGCGATGGGGGGGAGGCCATCCAAACTCCATGGGAGAGGCGGTTCGGTCGGCTCCGTATCCACGAATTCGTTCCTTGGTACCTTGATTAAGTTGCCGATCCATGCTCGAAACCGAGAGCCATTTGGACTGCCCAGGACGGCAGTCGCCCTGTTTTGCTCAAGCTCGACCACCTCGTAAGGACCTTGTACGCGGGAGGCAAGCTTGGAGGAAGAGGGGGCCGTGGTGAGATGGTATACTTTGTCTCGAGCTACCAAGTCGCATTCTCGGCCTTGACTAGAGAGCACCCTCGCAGGAGACGCGGATGTGCATCCGCGTGCACGTGACATGTTCAAAAGTGAAGATAAAGTTGCCGAAGTGTTGCGAACAATAGGAGGAAATGTTGATAGAAATTCGGATCCGATATTGGTAAATCGATTACCAGGGCGCGCGCTAATTGCATTGAAGTGTAGGGTGGGAGTAGTTGTGTGTATTGGTATGGGGAGGCGGGTCGAGA